AGGGAAAATGCTTTTGGGCTGAAGGCATTTCTTGACACGCACATTGTAAAAACGCACAGCACAGCTAGAATGCCAAAAGGCAACAGATGGAACAAAATGTTCTGAACCTATGGAGAAACGATGGGTGTTGCTGCGATCAGACGGTGACATGAACGCACATGTCCTAGACAGTGTATACCATGAACCAAATTCCCTTTGAACAAGAGAATGAGAGAACAAGCAGGAGGCCATCTTGTGATAATTAGTTCCCATGGAGAAAACATCCAGATCTGTTACAGAACATTCTTCTGTCATAGGCCCTGACTCCCATCAAGAGTATCCCTACGGTAGCAAAAACGTAGTGGTAGATCCATACTCCCTATATAAGGCAGTGATATTCACTCAGGGGCGCAGAAGCCACATGTGGCTCTTTTGACATGCCTCTTGTGGCTCTTCTGAGCCCTGTTCCCCAACATGGCATGTGTCCAATGTTCCCTCTAAGCTGTGAGGTCTTGTGAGCAAAAATTCTGCTTTGTGAGCTACTGGCATTAAAGTTGTGAGTGAGCGATTTGACTACTGCATAAATTAAGTTTGGTCTGGAGCCATCCTTCCTGAGCTAAGACAAAAATGTGTGAGCCAGAGCCTAAAAAACTGAGCTAGCTCACACTAAATCAGCTTAGAGGGAACACTGCATGGGTCCCATGTTGCAGAAAGGTGGGCAAGAGTAGTTCCCAACTTGAAAGAGCTGTGGTCAGTGAACAGGTAAGCTGGAAGTCTTTCTTAGGTGCAGGCCACATGCCGGGGATGGAAGTAAATGTGGCTTTTTATGGGCTGTGGAGTACTACTGATATAAGGTTTCAAAGGACTTAGATACATATACATCAGAAAGAGTCCTCATTGCTTTGTGGCTTGGCAAACTAAGTTTGCAAGCAATTGTTCCACTTTAAGAAGGGGGGGGGTGTAATATAACCAGGTTAAAATGTCTTTCCAATGTGTTTATGTGAACTCTGGATCAAACTTCTAGACACCCATTCACTCCACTAACAGCTTTGACTGAAGAACAATCCCCAGGGCCTGAAGCCCTTGCAAGAGGAAAGTTTACTAGGGCGGGAGAATGCGTGGGGGAAGCATGGCTGTTTGCCCCGGAGCAAAATACCGCGCTGTTGCGCGATCAGACGTCCCGTCGAGGTCCCGTGGTTAGGGGGGAGGTGCCGATCACACAACCATCCTGCAGCGCGGCAAAGAAGCAGCGCGGTCACACCAGCAATCGCTAGGCGCCGCTTCTGTGGCAAACGGGGCCCTGTGGCAAACGGGGACTTCCACTGAAGTCCACGCATGCACATAAACGAGCAATCGGATCCGCAAAGCCCCGCCCATGCTTCGAAGTGTGCTTCATGCCAAATTGTGGCTATGGGTCACGTTCCTGCTCATGCAGAGAGCGATCGAAGAGTGGAACTTTTGGTTTCGCGTTCAACAGCATGCGCAATTCTGCGGAGTAATGGAACTTTCACTTTCCTCTTTGTGCACATGCGCCGTTGGGTGCTTGTGCGCATCCTGTGGAGCCTTGGGGGGGAAAACCTGTTTGCCACGGGACATGGGCAGGCGCTGGATGCCACAGGATTCCACCGGAAACGCGATCAGGTGCCCGCCCTTGCCCCGTGGTTTCCGGAAACTAGTACCTCAGAGGTACTAGTTTTTTTACCCCGCATCTTCAGCGGGAAGCCTCGGGTTCGTCACGGAAGCTCTACGCTTCCCAGATGTGGCAGTGTGATCACGGCCGGAAAATCCCCCTATCTTCGGTCTCTGTAGCGTGGCTAATGCTCTGTGTGACCGCAGCCTAGAGCTGGTTTTGGTAGCTTTCTCTGCTGGAATACAAAACCCTCCAGCAACCCTCACCTCATGGTGATACCTTACCCCATGTTGGTATCTCACTGTGGCAAGCTAGCAGATGTTAACCTGGCAATTCCCTGTAACCGCTGACAAGATTTACTTGATGATAAAAAAAACCTGTCCCTATTTTAGAAGGAATATCCTTATGCTCAGCAATAAACCAGGAACAAAACAAAAAACACAGAAATCATATTTCACTTGCCTTCCCAGACTATACCGCTGCTTTTTCAACGTGTTCATACATTTTTTTTCCCTGTTAGGCGGTTCTGAATTAATTTTTCAGTATGGTTTCAGCATAGGTGAAAGGTGCTCTTCTGTTTCCATTTGCAACAGATGGCTAAGAATGCTCTTGTTAGGGTGGGCAGATCCAGGGGTTAGGGTTGCCAGATCTAGCCTGGGACACTCCTGGAGATTTGGGGATGGAGCCTAGGGAGGGCAGAGACCTCAGTGGGGCACAATGCCATTCAGTCCACCCTCCATCTTCTCCAAGGAAACTAATCTCTGTAGCCTGGAGACGAGCCGTAATTCCAGGGGATCCTCAGGTCCCTCCTGGAGTCTGGCATCCCTAGCTCCCGAAGGGATCAGGGATCGGCCCTCCCCACCCCCGCCATCTTCCAACGCCAGGCCTGAAGGCCTCCACCGGCTCCCAGCCAGCAACGCAGCAGCGCGCGTGCACGACATCCCCCGCGCGCGCGCGCGCCTCATACTTTCAGGCCGCTCATCATTCCACCCCCTCCCCCACTACCGCGGTTCCCAGTTGGTCCCGCCTTCCTCTCACGTGCCCCGATTTCCTGTGACCTCGCCCCGCCTTCCCTCTTCCTCTCGGCTCCATATTGAGGCTGAAGGAGGCAAAACTCAGTCACAAAATGGAGGTAACGGTTGGCGCCGCGCGGGAGGAGAAGGCAGGCCGGTCGGCCGCCGCGGGTCCTGCAGTTGGCGGGAGGGACTGGAGAGGGGGGATGAAGCGCGCGCGGGGCTCGGGGGCTCGTTAGAGGGTGGGTGATTGGCTGGCTCGGTTCTCTCTCTCTTCCCCCCCCCCCCCCCCCCCCTGGGTTTTGTGAAAACGGGGGGCGG